TTGTTATTTACCAGCTTCTGCCATCACGCTGATTCGGAAAAGCTGAAATCTGGTCCTACTGGTGCAGGAATCATCAGCGCCAAAGTGGACACCGGCTACACTCGTCGGGAAATGGACAGGTACACACATGCTACAACATTACATCCCGTCATGCACATGTTGTCTACGACTCACATGATCCATTTTTATTCCACAGGTTCATCTTTAGGGGTTAGACCTTCTCACTCCAGTGATGCTACCTGCAGAGCTGCTCACCACAAAAATAAATGTTTCCTGTTTGCACATCATTACTGGTATTTTTCTTATAAATACAATAGTTTGTATAGGAATAAAAACAGTGGGTGTGTGAGTAAGAACATTTACAGTCTTTCACTAGAGGAGCTGAAAACGTGAATCGCTTCCTCATTTGTGTTGTTTAATAATTATCCAGTCAAAAAAAAACTGCTAATTTTCATCTCTTTTTGAAATCCTCTTTGTGTGAGCTGAGAAGCTGCCAGTCATACAGCTGGGTGAAGGGAGTGGTATGAAATCCAAAGAGGGAGTGAAGGGAGATGAAGCATTGTCTTTGACCACCTCATTGTCACTGACCTACAGAGAATGAGAGGACTGTAAACTAATGAGCAAAATAATTACACTCAGACTGAGTATGCCACTGATTCCCGTGGACGTCTGCGGAGTGTCAAGCTGTTCTGCCACCCACAGCTGTGGGACGAGCAGCAGAGTCTCGATCGAGGAGGACGGCTTGAGATTCCACCAGCAACACATTGTGTGTCATTTACTGCAGCTGCACACTGTGCCCTTACTGCGAGCCACGTCTCACAAACTGCAGAGGTTTCTACATCAGCAGTGCAATGCCGACTGTGGAAACAGATATACTGAATGTCTGCAAGGTTAGCAGAACCTGACTAATACATCAGTTGACCATCTTTATTTATTTATTTTTAAGCTCATATTTTCCTTTCATTTTCAATGCTGGTATTGGTGTATATGTTTTCTGATATGCACCAATGTGAGTTTTTTTTAATTAAACAGAGTTGAATGCACAACAAGATAAAGTTTGGGGTGATTCAGAAATAGTGTCATCACATAGTTTGTCCACCAGAACAGCTCTAACTTCATTGTCTGCAGCACATGTAGCAGAGT